GAGATCACTGGATGTGGGCATGGAGACCTTTGGCGTGCTGCCTGGGGCCGTGTGCTCAGGGCGCAGCTTGGAAGAAAGCCTTAGCCAGACTCCTCACTCTCTGGTGCTGCAGCCCGGGAAGAGGAGGAGGAAGGAGGGAGCTCCCAGAAGACAGGTCTGGCAGAGGCCCAGCGTGAGGGCGGGAGACAAGCCCAAAGGGCAGACGGCTAAAGCAATACATGTGCTCATGGTGGGCCCTCGTCAGGTCACACGTGTTCCTGCCCAGGCAGAAGCAAAGGGGTTTAAATAAAAACGGACGGGATTTCGCTTTTCCTACTGTGACAGCCGAGGTGGATGGACGGCCCTGGCAGGGGCAGGTGCCATATTCTCCTTGCCACTGTGCCCCCCTGTGGCCTCTCCACGTCTCCAGGGGAGCCAGGTGTTAAGTGTCCAGGAGGCATTCAGTCCACAGCACCCCTGAGAGCAGCAATGGGCCATTGGGAAGTGACCCCTCACCTGCTACTCGGTGGTTCCCAAGCTGTCCTCAACCTGGCTGGGAGCCACACAGGTGCTTCCCGCCCGGTTCCACGGCCCTGACTCTGGCCCTCCTCCGTCCCGCTCTCCCACCACTGAGCCCATAACTAAGGGCCCCGTTTCGGTGGCCACTGTCGTACCGGCCCGACTAGGTGATCGTCATGGTCCCGTCTGGGCTGGGAACCGTGCGAAGGGCCAGATCCTGCCTCCCTGCAGCGCAGCCGGAGCCAACGTCATCGTCTGATGTAGGAATATGCCCCGGGATCCTTTCCCCACCAGGAGCTGAATGGTAACATAGCCAGGGTGGTGCCAGCCTTGTGCGCTGCTCTGCCGTGCTCCAGGGGCTCTGAGTGCCGTGGGGACAGGACGGGCCTGTTACCAGACTAAGGACGCTACTGCCAGGGGAGCTGCGGGCGTGTCCCTCGACAGCCAGCAGACGCCATGGTTGGGCAGGGCTTTCCTGGGGTAACGCTGTCCCTTTGTGTCCTCTCTCCCGCCTCAGGTTGGCTCAGTCCCTAGTGGCTCTCTTTGTGTCGTCCCTCGCTATCTCCGTGGTCTTCGCCTTCATCCCCCTCTGCCACAATGTGGTGGTGCTGGCGGTGGTCATGGCCGTGGCCGGGCTGGCCATGGGATGCATCGACACCATCTCCAACATGCAGCTGGTGAAGATCTACCAGAAGGACTCGGCTGTCTTCCTGCAGGTGAGGCGAAGGCGTTGGCTTGTCCCTGGGGGCAGTTCCATTGAGCTGCGCTCTCTGTGCGTCTGGAGCCGGGGCTTGTGCTGTCAGGAGGAGGCTCCGGCGGCTTCTCTGCAGACCAGAGCAGAAAATGAACCTCTCGGCCTTTGTCCTCCCTTCCAGGTCCTTCACTTCTTTGTGGGGTTTGGGGCCCTGCTCAGCCCGCTGATCGCTGACCCTTTCCTCTCGGACTCCAACTGCATCCAGTCAAATGCCACGCTCAACGCCACCAGCAACCTCCCTCATCTCCGCAAGTCGCTGGTCCCCCACCACCCTGGCAACCTGTCGCAATACGAGCTGCCAATGAAAGGGATGGTGACGACGCGTGTGTCCTACGCCTTCTGGATCATGGCCCTGATCAACGTGAGTGTCGCGACTGGGTGCCCCAGTGGGAGCCTAATGTCTCTTGCCTTGGCTCTTCCTCCGCATGGCACCCAGGGCCGGCCCACAACATTTTGGCATGTGAGACGGGGAGCTCAAATGACGCCCTCATGCCCCATCGCTGGGGCCAAAACTTTTGAACGGTCAACTCCACGCCTGTGGGGAGGGAGCTGGCAGGTATTTATGTCCAGCAGAGCCCCCCACCAGCTTAGCATAGGTCACCACTGTATCCCATTGCAGCCAGAGGTAGGCGAGCCAGCAGGAACTGCTGATGTTGCACTTTGGTTGTGATGCTCCAGACAGTCCCCTTTTAAAAAGCCCGCTGAGGCGTGCATGGATTTTTCATCCTCAAGGCCTATCTCTCCATCCCCCATCCT